AATATAAATATAAAATTAAATAAATATATAAATAAATATAAAATTAAATAAATAATTAAAAATTAATATATATATATATATGGGTCGAGTAGGATCAGATTTGCTTAAAACTCGACTCCAATCCAACTCCAAATTTTTATTATATTATTCAATCCGATCCGATATTTAATTTAAAAAAAAAATCAACCATAAAAAATTAAATTAAATCGAAATTCATCTATTTCGAATTTTTTTACCTCTCTAACCATTCGGGTCAGTAGGGAACTCTCTAGTTGATTGCTTTTAAAGCAATCATTCATTAAGCAATTATACTTTCTTCCTCTTTAATCGTATGACACTTCATAACTTCGCATATATACTTCATAGTTCAAACATGATTGCTTCTTGTGGAACCCAAAGTTTAGCCAGCTTTCTTTTTTTTTTTTTTTTTATTCAAATATATCACATTAAAAATACAATAAAATTCAAATCTCCACTAAATGAATGCCTATTCCTATCCGTGAAATGATTAATGTGTTTCCATGGTCTGCCAAAGTCACAATTTGGTACGACCAATTTGTTTCTCAAAGTCAGCAAATGTCATAATTTTGCTTAAGAATATGATTTTTTTTTTTTTTTGGATCGGTTTGAATTTGAAATTTTCAATTGTGAAATCGATTCCAACACTTAATGAACCTTATTAATTGTACACGACACACGTGAAAATGCCACTCCATTATTTAATAGAAAAAATCATAATTACATTTCCAGTGCTATTAATCTTATTAATTTTCATAATTCATCAAGTAATTCGTTGGTATATGAACATTTTAATTAATGATAAATGTATTTATATTTTACATAAAAAAATCGGATTTGAATCTTGTTCGTTCAAAAATTGAAAAAATAAACGTTTTCATTTAGGTATGACTTTAATGTTATAAATAATGTAAATTAAAAAATTCAAATAAATTACTGAAAATTTATAAAATTAACCTTTCGTTTGATAAATTCAAACTAAACGTTTCTACCCTAGCATAGGTTACTATTATCTTCAAATGAAAAAAAAAAAAAGAAGAAAGCAATTCAATTTTCAATTTAAAAATCATTGTAAACTTTGAAAAAAAAAAAAAATCCATGTCCAAAATCATCCTTAAACCTGCCTCATTGGCTTATGGGTCACTTCATTTTTATTTTCAATTATGTTAACTAACTTCGTAGAAATTGGGATGACCCCTGTTTCCACATTGAACAACTTTAGTTTAGCTCTATTGTCACTGTTAATGATGTTGCAGACTTGGAGACTAGAATAAGAACACCAATAAATTTGTATTGGCCCCCTTATCACACCACCAATTCACTCCCAACAAAATTAATTACCTGTGTGTATTGTTATCATGACTTTGGTCTTATTCAAATTCCCCCAAAAAAGAAGAAAATATGATATTGTTTAACCATAATTTGATATTCTTGATGCTCATTGCTTCTTTGAGGTTCGACTACATTTAATAATTTTAAACATAATATGATAATATAATATAAAATAATATAAATTAAAAATTTTAATAAAAATTATAAATAAATTTTTAAAAAATATACGTTTTATATTTTTATATTAATATAAATTATAATATATAATTTTTACATAAAATATAATATAAATATATAAATTTTTAATATTTTATATAATATAAATACACAAATTATTAATTCCGTTCGCCTATTCAATAATTTTCTTACAATGTGACAGACTTTTAATCCTAATCAAATTTTGTTCTGGTCGAACAATTTAAAGCAACTTGTTTCGGCCAATCTTAAGAACTAGCTAGTTATGGGTCGATATCATCTTTAGGCCGTGACTTTTTGGACCATTTTCTTCAGCTTTTTTTTTCCTCTCTCTCGAGCCCACAGCCACGTTTTGTTTTTTAAATATTGAATCACAAGCTAAGTTTTAATTACTCAAATCATTTTGGCATTGAAGAAATTTGACTTTGTCAGGTGAAGAAAGTGCTCTTCATTTCATATGATACTCTCGAACAAGACCAAAGCTTCTATTGTTAGTGTCATAACGAGTAAACTTATCAGATTACCCCCATAACCTTTTCAGAATCGTTCTAAACCCTAATTCTAACCAAAAAACCTAAAATCAAGCTCACAATTTCAAATTGAACCCTATAATCCCAAAATTAAGCTCCCAAAACCCTTTCTGTCCAAAATTTTTTAGATTTTTTTTCAATAACTTTTTGTCAAAATTTCTATATGTTCTCTTTGTAGAATCATTCTAATTTATAGGTAATCCTAGGATCAGCTTAAGAAAATGGACAGAATCAATCTCATGCTTGAATCTTGAAATTGCATTTTATCTAGCATGATTTTTGATCCAAAATTTTAGCAATTTGATTTACAATTAAAACTTTGACAACCGATATGGATTCTGATTCCCTGTTTTCTAATCCATGTGCAAATTAGATAAAAAGGAAAGCAGTAAATAGAAAAAGAAAAATGAGTAATAATAATAACAATTTTTAAAAAAACTCTCTAATTAGATCCGAGCACTAATAAGTCTAATTGGATCCATAATAAATAGACTTAATCAACCCGAATATTAATGGGCCTAATCGAATTCGAACATCAATGAATCCAACCGAATCCGAACATCAATAAGCTTAATTAAATTTGAACATAAATGAGTGTCTACGGTTAAAAAAAAATGAAGGCAAAAGCGTCCTGAATCAGCAGCAAATTTGATATATTTAAGATCACGAAGTGCATATCAAGCTCTGGCAAATTGACATTGTCTGAATCGTCATGCATGCTATTATCAACGAGTTTCCTTGTGGTTTCCTCATTCAAACAAAACCCAAAAAAGTTATACCTTCACAAGTATTTTCCAATTTTCCCAATGTCTTATAAGGAACAAAGAATCCACCGTCAGTCAATCATTCAATCTTTGCTAGGTAGCGCTGCGAAGGGTAAATTAAAAGGAAGCATTTAAAAAAAAAACATGATTTTAAGCTAACAGAAAAATAAAGAAGTTAAAAATCAATTTTTTTGGTGCGAGGCCGTAATTAAGATATATAAGAATAAGATGTAGATATTAAAATTTAAAATTTAAAATTGTTAATATTATTTTTTAAAAATAATTTTATAAATTAATTAAATTAAATTTCAATTTAAATATTATCTTATTTTGAAATATGTTAACTTCAACTTGAAAAGCCAATGGTGGACAGCGGGCAGTGAATTGATTCATATAAAGATAGTCCGAATTCGAATATAGTAGATTTATGTTATGTTTTATGTATAAAATTATATTGTAGAGAAGATTAGATTAAATAATTTATTTTATTTTATGTTTGAAGTGTATAATAATTAAGATAAGATAATTTTATTTATTAATTAAAAATATTATTTTTTAAATTTTATATATTCAATTTAAATTATTAATATAATTTTTAAAAATATAATAACATATATAAATTTAATATAATGAATTAAAAAAATAAATTATTTTATATAAAAAATATTAATACTCTTTACAATTTCATGTATCTCTTTAAATATAAAATAAAAATTTTATCATTTTATTTCACCGAATATGATTTTAATATTAGAGGAGGAAGATGACAAGGGTGTGTTTCTCTCATGCTTCTTCTGCTTAAGTTCGTAACTCTCAGTTCATCAGTTGGGGACCCACCAAGAACACAGGCACAGATCTCTAACGTTTGATTTTGTTCACTGCCCAAAGAACAAATCTGACTGACTGCTGAAAGCTGATGCTAATGCCTTCATTCACTACACCTAACTAGGGGTGTAAATGATACATTAGTACTCGCAAGCTACTCGGGTTCGATTCGAAAAAAACTCGAATTCGGTTCGATTATTGTCGAGTCGAGCTCGAGCTCGAGTAGCTCGACTTATCGATCGAGCCCGAAATTCGAGTATTCCTTATATCTGACTCGAGTAGCCGCGGCTAATCGAGCTTTTAATTTAAATTATTTTTTTATTTTTTTTAATTAAAAAATATTTCGAATAGTGAGTTCGAGTCGAACATGAATAAGAACTCTTGTCGTATACAAATCGAGCTTATTTTTCATATTAATCGAGCTTAATGAGGAGCTCTGAGTAGTTCGAATTCGATCACGATGATCAGCTTAAAATAAAAACTCGAATCGGCTTCTGAAGCCCCGAGTTTGTGAGTCTGAGCTCGACTCGAGTCTCACTCTCGGCTCGGCTCGGCTGTTAAGCCTCTAACTTTAGATCTTTCGGCTGTCATTTGTATTATCTCTTTATAATAAACGACTGAATTCTTTATTTACATTCCAAGATTTTGAATTATATAGCTTAATTTAAGAGAGGGTGGATAAGTAAAATAACACCTCCATTTCTGCCCCATGCCTCAAACTCAAGGGGTTCATCAACCATTGATCAGCCGCCCCTATATACAATCATCATCCCTTCTACTATTATTAAAATCTAAAAAATGGAAACATTGAAATTTAGGTATTTAAAGAATTATTTTAACATTTGTTAATGTCTAGAAGAGCATTAAGATTCTAGATTTGAATATATATTCTTTTACCAACAAGATATTGATTTAATTGATAGGATAATTTTTTTTAACATAAATAACTTAGGGTTTGAGATTAATTGATTGTCTTGTCATCTCAAATTTATAATATAATTATTGGTTTTTAGGTTATAATTTTATTTTAATATAAAAAATTAAATAATTTATTTACTTTGAATTTTAATATTTAAGATTATCATAATTTTTTTTTTAAAATGATTGAATCATACACAGATCAATTGAAAAAAAAAAGTTTGGATGCATAAGCTTGTGAGTTCTTAAAATTAAAGAACCCAAATTATGTTTAAATGAAATGTAAATGAAAGTGATTACGTTATGCATTGTAGTGCTCACAATTGTTATCTTCACTCAAGAGTATTGAAATTCAAGATTTTAATTTGTACTTCTCTTTGTATCATTTACATGATATTTTATATGTTTTTCACTTTTGTTCAACCCCACCATCGTATCCGGATTCAATCTGATAGTCAAAGTTGTGCTCTTCATATCACATTCGCTTTCTTTTCCACGATTCCCTCTTTTCTTTCTTTTCTTTTTTGGGCTCACAATAAGCCAAAATCTTTTTTTATTTTCATGCTCCAAACCACATTTCAATTCCCTGTAATTTCATCTCTCCAAAATGGAAACAATCAGACCCAAATCAGCTTTGAACCACAGCAACAATAAGAGCAGGCTAGCAAGAACTTTCCAGAAAGTAATCAACCTAAGAACTGCAACAAGAATTGCTTCAAGCAATGGGATTGGAACCTCTGTTCTCATATCCCAACATAAATTCCCACAGGAAGGTTCAATCCCAGGTCAGAAAACTTCTTCCCATGCAGACAAACATGGGGGCTCCAAGCTTAAGCAAAAAGCAGTTCTGGAAGCTGTGGTTGCCAAGGTTTTTGCTAGTGTTACTTCTATCAAAGCTGCTTATGTTGAGCTGCAAATGGCTCAATATCCGTACAACAGTGATGCTATTCAGGCTGCTGACCAAGCTGTTGTGGAAGAACTCAGAGCTCTTTCAGAGCTAAAGCGAAAGTTTTTAAAGAAAGAGCTTGATCTTTCACCTCAAGTTACTTTGATGCTCGCGGAGATTCAGGAACAGCAAAGCTTGATGCGAACTTACGAGATCACAATCAAGAAGTTGGAATCTGATGTTGAAGAAAAAGATTCAGACATTGCTTTACTCCATAAGCAGCTTGAAGATTGCACTGCTGTTAACAAGTCTTTAGAAAAGAAACTAAACTCCAGTGGACCTTTGTCAATGTTTGATAATATCCAGTTTACAACGTTGAATCCAAGTCATTTTGTGCAAGTTTTACACTGTACTTTGAGATCTGTTCGCAGTTTCGTGAAAATGATGATCAAGGAAATGGAGTTAGCCAAGTGGGATCTTGATTCAGCTGCTCAAACCATTGAACCTGGAGTCGTTTTTGCAAAACAAAGCCACAGTTGCTTGGTATTTGAATCTTTTGTGTGTAAAACAATGTTAGGAGACTTCAATTGCCATGATTTTGGGCTCACAAAAGATTCTGCCTCAAAAAAACTCGACCCTGAGCAGTATTTCAACAAATTCAAGAACCTGAAATCTGCTCACCCAAAATCCTTTTTAGTTCAAAATCCGAACTCTTCTTTTGCTAAATTCACCAGAACCAAGTACCTCAACCTGGTCCATGCCAAAATGGAATGTTCCTTTTTTGGAAACTTGAACCAAAGGAAGCTAGTTGCCTCTAGTGGGTTCCCGGATACAGCCTTTTTTACAGCTTTTGCAGAGATGGCTAGGCGCTTTTGGCTCTTGCATTGCCTGGGATTCTCAATCCATGATCAAGTTTCAGTCTTTCAGGTAAAGAAAAATTGTAAATTCTCTGAGGTTTACATGGAAAATGTGAGTGAAGAATCTCTTTTTTCTGGTGAAATCAACGACGCAAATGTTGATACTAGAGTCAGTTTCACGGTGGTTCCAGGGTTCAAGATTGGTAAAACTGTGATACAAAGCCAAGTTTATTTGCCTCCGGAGACTATTCCTCCGGTGAGTCGTTGATCATTTTTTTTTTTTCGAGAATCAACATATAGTACTTCATTATTAGATGAATAAATTAAGATGCTATCCACGCCCGTATGGTACACGCACCGCTATGGGAAAGTTGGGGAGAGTGGAGTCGAGTGCTATTTTCAAGTGGGGTTTGTGGACTCGTGGTTTAAGGTTTATATTTCAACTTCAGAAGTTCAGTTATCTCCCAGGTTATGGGAAAGAAAGCGGAGCGTGGAGCGGCGCGTGGGTTTTGGTCTATGGAATAGTAGTGGCTGATAGCACCACCAGCATCCGGACCCACAGCCCAAAGTGGCCAAAAAGAAACAGAAGGTGCGGCTAGGTTATGGGGGAGTAGGGATTTTTGTTTCTTTTTAATTTAAAAAAAAAATCAGTTTTATAACAGAGAAAGAGAAAGTGTTTTGAGAGGGAAAAAAGTTCTCTGTTAGTACTGTAATTCAGCAGCAGCAGTAATAATAGCGTAAAGCAAATTTTTAATGTTTAACATGCCTAAAAATTCCTAGACAAGAATTGCAAGTTGGCAGTAGAAAAATATTTTAAAAGCCAATATGAAACTCTATGATTGTCTTTGTAATAATGCATGAACAATAACCTTGTTCATATATGTCATTGCATCTGCTTACTCATATTCTCACAAGGGTTTGGATTCCATCAAAAGTGGGATTCATTATAATTTATCGTATCATCAATTAGATTTTAATAATAAAATTTATTTAATATAAATATTTTTATAGTTTTTAATCATATTATAATATATTTTTAATTATAAAAACAATAATTTTATTATTTTTTTAATTTTATTAAAATCAATCATCTATGGACTTTAAATTTGAGAAATATTAGATTTACCAATTAGTTGGGAAAACCTTTTTGGCTATTTACTATCTCCTTAATTCTAATTATGCAAATTTTACTTCATATATCTTATTTTTATGTAAGACTTTGTTTTATTGCAAATAAATAAAATGAATTCGAAACTTATATTAATTGATTTATATAACTAATATTTGGTAGATTTAGATTTTAAATTTCATCCTCTATAATTTTTATTTTTTTTTTGTAATATTTGGAAAAAAAAATTGGACTTTGGGGTCAGGTGCTCAATTTTTAGCAGTTGGGCTGATCAGATTTTAACCTTTTCTGATAAGTGAGCAAACATAAGCGGCAAAGAAAAAAACTTAAGGACTGTTTGTAGTTGCTTTGGTTGATAGATTCGGTAGTGGGGAAGCAATGTAGGGTCAAATAAGGAAGACTTTAAAGTCATATAATTCACTTAGGAAAGTGGGTTTAGGCTGTAATCGCAAAAATCTGAGCAAAGGATCACGGGGCCTGCTATGAAAAATTTGCCTAATTCTGATGTAACGTTTGGCTATGATCTGTGTGCAACCGAACATAAAACCAGAGATTTTGGTTTTGAAAGAAAACCAGAGTACAATAATTGTTTGCAGGGTACAAGACTCATTCATTCAGGATAATTACTTCAGAACACCCAACAGTCAGTACAACTGTTGATTTGTCAATGTTTATTTAAAAGTTTATGTACTTAAATTAAGAATGTAAGAACTTAAAATACAGCAATGGTTGAAGTTAGAAATTACTATAATGATTCAATTAAGAAGCCATTTGTTAAAGAGAAAAAACTTGTTTCCAAAATCCTTGGAACTTTAAGCCATGTGAATGTCAGGATCTGAAGGGTAAAAAAAAATAAAACCTAAGCCTGTTGCAGGTGCAGCACATGAGGATGAAAACAAAGGAAGATGAAGTTAAATGAGACAAGGTTTTTAGATTGCCTCATAAATGCAGTAGGCCAATGTGGACAGTTCTGGTCTGATTATAAATTGTAACCAAGAAATGAATTGATTGATACTCCAATAAGAAACAATAAATATTGGCAACTTATAGTTAGAGGCTGGCATCTGAGACCAAGCTGCCAAGCTGTTTCGGCAGTTTCCATGCCACTTCAATTCATTAGCTAGGCCTCGGGCGGATGTAATAATTTTCAAAGCCCCCATTGATTGTGAAACGTATCTCTTAATTTCATTTAAGTATGTTTAAGATACGAATTTTATTGGGTACATTACGTATGAAAATACGATCGTTTTAAAATAACTTAACTCTTAGTTTGAATGATTAAATTTGAAATATTAGCAATTTTAAATAAATTAAAAAAAAAAAGCATTCCTTTGAGTTAAAATCTGAAATTTCTTTCAGTTTATGTGAACAACAAACAAAGTCCTAGAAAATAAATGGTCCTAGAACTCTAGAGCCCAATGTGTCCAGAAGCAACCTGAATAGCTTTGAGCCCTGTAATCCAACGACTAGTTTTGGCCTTTGGGTGCATCAAGCATCACAATTCATATCCCTGACTGACTGGTCTAATTTATGGCGCTAGATTTCTATTCTTTAATTTTCATATATTGACTTTAAGTTCAATGAAGTTCATCAATAATCAAGTTAAAACAGACACCCCCAAGATAAATTTTGTTTTTTCAACAACAAAAAAGAGTAGATTTTCAATTCAAGAACGTAAAATTTTGTTAGGTTTAAAAGGAGATACCAAATGCATCCAAGAGAAGCAAAATTAAAACATTTCCTAGAACTTGCAGTAGTTACATAATTCTGCCAAGAAGCTTCTGGGTTTTCAGCGATTGTACATCCCTCTCTGCATCCATCAGTCAGTTTCCAATTGAGTGTAAGCATAGAAAAGCTAGTTGCAATATTTCCATAAAATTTACAGATTCAATAGTGAATAAGGAATGGATCCAATGAAAAGGAAGAAAACAAATTCACTCCAAAAAAATAAAATGAGGGGGGAAAATAACATTTGTATCTGTTTATTCAACACGATGACTTTCTTAACCAGCTGATACCTGCTTGTGTTGTCACTATCACCAGAAAAAGTTGATCTCTGAAATTAATGATACTTATCTGGCTGTACTGCAACTGGATACAAACCATCTATGTGATGGATATTATGACTGCACACAGGAAAGCTTAGTAACCTTTCTCATGCATGAGATGGTAGTAAGAGTTACATGATGGGTTTCTTTCAATTCCAAGTCTCTCTCCATGAATCAACCCACGTCCCAGAAGATCCTCTTACCCCTTCCCCCTCAGATCATATGAATTCTCAATGGCCAAATAATCAGACAGAAGGCCAGAGAATGTCCTTTTCAACAGTAAGTTCCAAACCAAGCAGAAAATGATATCTATCTTCATCACAGGTCAGGCATGGCATTCTTCCCAACTGGCCAAAAGGACAACAGGCCCAAAATTTGATATAAAGCCATGGAGGATATTTCAAAGGGAGCCTTCTGATCCGGTATCTGTGAAGGGTTCAGGGTCTGAAGCTTCTGCAAGAGCTTTGAGCATGATTACAACCTCAGCTGGGTCATCCAAATAATACTTGGCTTTGCTAGGTTTCTGGCCAACTGTGCAGGCAAAAACAGATGTCTTAGAGGAGAGGACACTACTGGAAATTGCACTGCTGATGATCTCAAACATTTCCTCGTCAGATCTGTCATCGCCAATGCAGAGAACAAAATCTGCCCGCCTTCCGCTCTCTGCCATGGTTGTGAAGATCTTTTCAGCGACCACACCTTTACTGACTCCCTAAAACCAACAATAAAATTGATTCAATATCATGCATTCATCCAATCAACAAAACCAATGTCACTAAATCAAAATAGAAAACTAAGATAATAACCTCCCAAAACTGATCACATTATATTCAGGAGTGATACAAGAACAAGATTTACTCGTATTATTTCTATTTTATGCTTTTCCTATCCTTAATGGAACAATAGTACAATTCACTCTCAATCCCAAATACTGCCATCAAAGTAACCTGAGAAGTAACTAATTTACTACCAAAGCTCAGGAGCAAGGCAAAGTAATCTGTTACATTTCCCATTAAAAGAGTAAGCTGAAAAACAATATTAAAGCTAGAGTTTTCATAATCATTAAGCATATTTCAAAATGTTGGAATCACAAATAAAGGAATGGAAAAACTTAGTTTGCAACACATCATGCCAATTTTAATGTATTAATTAACTAGAACAAAATGATCAGAAAAGACAACAAAGACAGGATATTGCATACATAAAGTTACAAAACCAAAGTTAAGCAGATACCTGAGGTTTCACTTCAACGATAAACTGGCCACTTTTCACAGCCACAGGTTCATTTGCTAATGCACTCTCAAGATGGTCTAACATCTCCTTTGCCTGGCTAGACCCAAAACCTGGGTCTGCATCTCGATGGTGCCAGACCAAGGCACTCTCCTTGGATTCAATAGAGGAGCCATCAGTGGCCTCTGTGTACAATTTCATAACAGGCTCAGCTATTTCCTTCCACCCAAATTCATTATTCTGCCCACAGACTTCCCACTCATCATTAGTAGACCACCTGAAACATTGACAACTTTGAAGTAAGTGTACCTATTGAAGAAGCACAAAAATGGGAAGAGAGAAAAAAAAAAAAAAAAAAAAAGAAAGAAAGAAGAAAACAGCATACCTCATGAAATAACCATGTTCAGCCGCAATTCCAAGTTTCTTACATGGAGAAAACCACTTGCCTAAACTTTCCCTTCCTCTTCCACTTACAACAAAAGCGGTATTTTTGATATCACCAGAGAGTGTGTTTATGATTGAGATAACCTCTGCACTAGGGGTCTTGTTATGTGATGTTTGAGGCATTACCGTTCCATCATAGTCCAATAGTATAGCCCTGTTTTTGGACCTTCGATACACAGATACAATGTGATCAATAGACAACTTTCTGAAGTTAGGATCAAGAGCTACAACTCTGAATCCAAAGCTCAAACCAATTCCCCAACAACGCATTCTGAAATGGTCTTTACATGTCCTTTCCATATCCTGGAAGAAGCTTCGAGACCAGAATGCTACATCATGTGAGCTAACATACCTATAATGCTTCTCATGGCGCAATTGTTTCTCTGCATCAGCCATTGAGATTGCCTCATTCATTGCCTCAGCAGTTGCTTCAACATTCCAAGGATTTACCCGGATTGCACCACTGAGTGAAGGAGAGCAACCAATGAACTCTGATACGACTAGCATGCTCTGCTGGGGCCCAGTTGATTCTAAGGAAGACTCTGATTCAGAGACTCCTTGCCGGCACACAATGTACTCGTAAGGAGTAAGATTCATCCCATCCCTCACAGCTGTGACTACAACACACTCAGCTACAGTGTAGTATGCAACTCTCTCACTGAGGGATACTGGCCTATCAATGAAGACAATTGGCTCATAACCAGGTTGTCCAAAAGTCTGATTGATTCTCTTGCAGCTTGCCTGTATTTCAGCCTGTATCTCCTCAATATCTTTCCCTCTTCCCCTAGCAGGGTTTGTGATCTGTACCAGAACTGCTCTTCCCTGCCACTTTGGGTGGTGTTTCAGCATCTGCTCCATTGCCAACAGCTTCAAGTTGACACCTTTAAAGACATCCATGTCATCAACTCCAAGCAACACAGTCTTTCCTTCAAACTGTTGTTTAAGTTGTCCTACTCTCCACTCCTTATCCGCAAGTCTCAATACAGACTCAATCGGTGCCATGTGGATCCCAACAGGCATGATCTTTATCCCAATTGTCCTTCCATAGTACTCCAGTCCAATATAACCTCTCTTTGACTGGTACTCTAAACCTAACATTCGACTACAACAAGACAGAAAATGCCGCGCATAATCAAAAGTATGAAAACCAATGAGGTCTGAATTCAAGAGTGCCTTTAGGATCTCTTCCCTCACAGGTAAAGTCCTATATATCTCAGATGAAGGAAATGGACTATGCAGAAAAAACCCCATTCTCAATCTATTAAACCTTCTCCTCAAGAATGTAGGCAGCACCATCAAATGATAATCATGGATCCAAACGTAATCATCTTCTGGGTTTATAATCTCAATTACCCTTTGAGAAAAGATCTTATTCGCAGCAACATATGCCTCCCACAAAGATCTATCAAACCTGCCTCCATGATTCGCTGAAAACGGAAGCATATAATGGAAAAGTGGCCACAAATGCTGTTTACAGAAACCATGATAGAACTTAGTCAAAATGTCAGGTGGCAGAAATGCAGGGACACACTTAAACCTATCCAACAAAAGCTGTGAAACATCATCTTGTTCATTGGGATCAACATCAACCTTCAAAGAACCAACATACAATACCTCCATCTCTTCAGGCAAACCATCTTTTAAATGTAATAACAACGAATCGTCGTCCCAACTAAAACTCCACCCTTTATTATCAGGTCTACGCTTAGCTTTAACTGGGAGTTGATTGGCTACAATAATAATTCTATCCTGAATAATAGTGGATGGCCCATCTGAGCTGGCACTATTAGCCCGATCATCGTCAAGCTCTGAAATAACCCCCGGTACTGTCATTACCCGCGGCAGCTGTTTCTTTTCACGAGTTTGACCCATTACCGGGAAATTACCAGACGCTAGATCTAAAAGATTGGTATATGATCTTGACATCATCTTTAAACTCTTTTTTAGTTATCAACCTTCAACAAGAAGCAATCCCCAAAATCTCAAAACTATAAACAAGACCCCCTCAAGATTTTCGTTTCTCTTCCAAAAATACTCTTTTTAATTTGGCACGTTCTGCATTGGATATAAAAAAAAAAATCAACTTTACATGAACAACAAACAAGAATCACATAAAACAAATAAACCCATGAATAAATTAGATCAAAAATTGGAAAAAAAAAAAACTAAAAGTACCCAAATGAATATTATATCAAAATTCAATCAAAGAAAACTAAAAAAAAAGGCAAAATCTTTGGAACCAGATGAATCCAAAGTAATGGGAGTAAATTAAAAAATGAAACTTTGAAACTAACCTTGCCCTTCGAAGTACAGAGTTTGTCTTTAATGGGAAACCCTTGGATCCAAATATGAAAATTTGAGATAAAAAATAGAAATTCTTTTGGGGGTTTCTTCTTGTCAAGGATGAAATCTAGGGTTTGTTTTGGGGTTGTTTTGATACTCTATCTCAAAGAGCCACATTTAAAATCCTTTTTTTTTTCTCTCTTTTGAGTTTGTTTTCCTTTCTCTCTCTTGCAATTTGCAAATGTTGGTGATACTGTAATGTCGTTTGTGAAAAGCCGGCGTGATGCCGCCAGGAACTTCTGCCGTACGATTTTACAATAATTGATCTTAGCCGTTCTTTAAAGATTACCTGGTTCAGCAAGTTGCAGGTGAACCCAGAGTTCCATTTTTATTTTATCTTACGTTGTATAAAAGACACGTGTGGTCCAAAAAAAAGTTGTATAAAAGACAAAATTTGGGCCTTGTTTTCAATACATTTCATATTATAAGTAAACGATGACACTAACATTTGTATTTTTTTTTTTGGTATAAACTTTTTTTAAACTAAATAAAATAAAATTTCTGTATCGTTAATTATGGGATATGATATGATTTATTCATAAAAAAAATTTTAACTGTACCCTATTATGTAATTCACATATTTGTAGTAAAAAAATATAAAATTGTAATTTTAGAAAATAATTTAAATAATTATTTCAAAAATGATTTTTTTGTCATGTTTTTAATTGAATTTGTGTCATTTAATTTATAACTTCAAATCAATTAAAGTGTTTTTATTAATATAAATACTATTTATAAAATTTACATATAGATACCATATTATTAAATAGAAATTAACTATCAATAAGAAAATGGAATAATAAATCTTATTGATGCCTTTATAAATATATTTTAATTTAAAATTATGTAACAAAATATTACTAATAAGTTTCGTTTTAATATTTTAATATAATATAATTAAGCAGTGTAATGGCTTTACCTTCGTCTTATTATTTGACCTGTGCCAAGTGGCATTGCCGGTTTTACCGGTTTTCAAAAATTTCGTAGCCATTTTAAAGACACGTGGCATAAAAAGATTGGTATATTTTGGCGGCATTACTTCCCGTACCGCGTAGTAGAAAATTCCTGTAAGTGCTTCGCTCTTTTGAAATATTTAAAATTGAAATATACAAATTTTTGGAATATAAAAATGGAAAAGGGCAAGGTCGGCCAGTGGACGTCCCAGTAATGCCAGCTGGCATTGTTTGGTTTTTCCCTCACCCGCCTTTTCTCTCTTCTCCTGATGATTCCGACGTGGCATTAACCAAAATTGCCACGTGTTTTTGTTTGTGCTACCCCGTGGTCATGGCGGATGGCTTAAACCCTTCCAATCTTCAACACGCAATAAACGTCACGGCTTTAGCTTGCGTATCATTGATTCATTGAAAAGTGGGGACAAGCTCAGTTCCACTTCCTCTGTTCACGATGTCGCCACGTGGCAGACAAAAGTTTTTTGCGGATAAGGTAGAGTCGGCGATGACCTGAAAGGAAATGACGTCATCGGTGAAGTCACAATCATCAAATGGCAGGACGGGGTTGGTTGAGCTGTGTCTACGTTTAACGCTGCGTTTGGTTTTGTGCATTGATGGAGGAACTAGTAAGCATGTGTTCGTTTTATTAGGTAAAATGTCAGTTTCGCCTTGAGGATTGAAATTAAAGGAAGGTTAGGATGGAATTATGAGAAAAAATTAATGTGGTTGTGACCAGACCAGATTCCAATGACTGGTTAGGGTCAGACCAGATTGCTGGGTGTTTTTGTTGACTCATATGATATCTTTCACCTAATATTCTTTGACAAGTCATGGGGAATATAAAATTAAAAGAGATAATTTTATAAATATATCTTGTAATTAAGGTTGAAATGAAATTATCGTTTAAGATATAAAATGTTACATTTAATTATTTTATAATTTATTTTATTATTTTTATCAAATATTATCATTTTTTATTTTTTTTTATTTTTCATTTTATATCTGAATTCATACTTTTTTAAAAAAAATTTATTATCTTCCGCTATTTCATTCTCTCTTTAAAATCAAATTAATTTTTCTTCTAAACTTTAGATCAATTCATAAACAATAATTTTCAAACAATCAAAATTTATATATCACCATCATTACAAATTTACATTATCACCAAAATAAATGGTTACCAACAAATTCAGCAACCTATTAACCTTACCGTTACCTTTGCCAAGCAATCAACCTTGTCATTAAAATCAATAATCTACCTAAAGAATCAAATAAAACCATACCAAATAACCTAAAAATAAAAACCCAAAAAAAAAATCAAATCAAGGATCTCGAAATTTCATAGGTATTGAAAAGAGAAGACAAACAATAGAAAAAAAAAGAACTAAAGTCAAAAAAGGTGTTTCATAGGTATGTTAATGTCAACATATAATGTTGAAATAGTAGTGACTACGGAGTTCACTAGATTTTGGGATTTGAGTATTGATTGATAAATTTGTTTTTGAAAAAATACATTTAGAAAAAAAAGAAAAAGGAACTAGTGATTTTAAATAGAAAATATAAATTTTTAGAGAAAGAGAATAAGTTAAAGATGAAATTTGGTAGTGATATGAATTTGTAATGGTGATAGAAGTATGACGATTTTGGTAATTTGAAGGTTATTGCTTGTGGATTGATTTTGGTTTAAAAAAAATTTGATTTTATTTTAGAGAGATAGTATGATTTTTTAGAAAAAGAATATGAATTTAGATGAAAAAAAAATAATGATTTTGGGTTTAAAAACAATAAAACAAATCATATAGTATTACGTTTTAAATCTTAGTGATACTTTCATTTTGACCTTAATTATAGGATATATTTATGAAGTTTATCCAAATTAATAAAAGGAAATTGTTTGGACAAAATAAATATGAGAGGTGTTAAATACATCCTTTTTTTTTTACACCCCAATTTTTTTTAAAATTTTTGTAAGTAAAATTATTTAATTATTTTTTTACATACATTATTTTCAAAAAGTCACATAATTTTTGAGAATATTATAAATCTTTTCGAAACTAAATTTAAATTTTTTGAAAATCCATTTCAGGAAAATGGGCTAAGAAAAAATTAAGAAACATTTTAAGTAAAATTGTTATTGTCTCACTTTCTTGGAATGGATTTTTGGAAAATCATATAATTTTTTAAAAGTTCATTTTTGAAAATATTTATGATTTTCTAGAAATTTATTTTCAAAAAATTATATAATTATCCAAAAATTCATTTTCTAAAAATTATGAGAAAAACAATTAAATAATTTTATTTATAATTTTTTTTAAATAAGGGTGTAAAAAAAAATAGGTACATTTATCACCTCTCAATAAATATATCTGTTTGGAAAGGGGAGAGGGAGGAAGTTCAGAAACACTTTCTTTCATTCCCAAACAAAGAAAAATGGGAATATATACATAAATCAAGGAAAAGATTGGGGAAAGATAGTAAAAAATAGAGGAAAAGAAAGAAGCTTTAGATACAAAGAAAACTTTGGCATACCATGCATTCACACTCGGTATATTTTCACTTCTTTTTGTTGACTTTCAATTATTCTTATCTCTTTAGAATCTTTTTTTTTTGTTATTTAAATATTTTTTTGTTGAAACAAAATGGAGATGTGCTTCAATGTTTTAGAAGATTCAACATATATTAAAATTTAGGAAACAAATCATGAACTCAATGGAAGCAACATGAGAAAGGCCAAAATAAAAGTTGGAAATGACATATTCCTTTCCCTTTCTTGGTAGAGAAGGGTCATCGAAAATTTCTTCAATATAGTTATAGTTGAATTGAATTAAAATGCTTTCCTTCTTGATCAATAACTAGAAGCATAAAGGCTTGAATGCTCCCTCATGTCTCCCTGCACCTTCATTGGCTTATTCCATTAGCAAATTCTTTAATTCTAACAGTTAATTTAGATAGACGATAAAATTAATTTCGATAAAATTAAAAATAATAATAAAAATTATTATAATTATGATTGAAAAAAATATTATTATTATAATTTTAAAAAAATTCATAAAAATATTTATGTTTAATGAATCTCATTAAAATTGATATTTAAATTTATTTAATGGTACAGTGAGTTCAATTACACTGTACTGAAAATATAATAAAGTTTAAATTTCCACTAAGTTTAATATCAAATTAATTGATGGATCCTTCATTTTAAAACAGAAATTTGGTCATGGTAATATCCACCATATTACAATGATTTCTTTTTTCTCGTAGAAATTATGTCCAAATTTTGCATGTTTATCACATTCTTGCTAGATATTTTTTTTCGATTTATGGGTTAAGTAATAAAGTATTTGAATTGTCTTTTTTTCGTTGCCGTAGAATCTTAAGACAGTGGTTTTTCCAATAAACAAGAAAGCTAGAACAATACGAAAAACTCAAATTTGTAAGCATTAAAAACAAACAGGAAGAGAGAAGGAAACGACAAAGCCAATCTATAGGACTTGGGGGATATCTCCAAATGTGAATTTCAAGCATTCTAATTTCAACATAAGTTTGGTGGTTTGTGACTAAAGCCGTTGACAAAATGCCATGAAAGAATGCAAAATTTTGCTGTTGAATTGGCCACCGGCCCACCAGGGTTGTTGGGAAGTGGAAGGAGACTTATCAATGGATTGAACTGGCATTTTCAGTTGGTGCCAACAATCTTCCGGCCCCTGTTTGTCTCTCAATTTACCCCTTTTTTTTTGGCCTTTCCATGCTTTAAATGAATCAAACTAAGCAGCTCATTTGTACAGCTCAAAACTTATTTGCAAGCCAAGGTATATGGCAATGATCATGAGTGTTTGAACATAGAAAACATTGAGGTCCTGCATCGATGATCCAATGGAAAAATGAAATAGCACATGTTTTTCTTATGACATCTGAAAACGAATTTTTTTTTTTTAATTGCAGTTTTCAATATCAGTAGGCTCAGGGGGTTTAACCCTTTTGAAGGCCTCAATCATGGCTTGCGCCGTAGATATTCCTGGAGCGGCCTCAGCAAGCAACAGTACTACGACTGTCAATGCTATTATTTTCTGATGTATGGAAAAGATGTCATTTTCGAAATCATAATTTTGCTTGTTTCTACTTTTACCAAACAGAAGCTTCACCCAGTGCAAAGATTTTCTTAAATGGAAAAGCAATATTTAGTGGTATACAAAAAAACCTAATGAAGTTTCGTTTTCATTCAGTTCCTCAAAGAA